TTCCAGCTCTGTGATTCTAGGTTCTAAGATAAGATGGGTAAGAAAGAACTTGTTACACGATGGCGGGGAATCAAAACCAAGCCTGCCTCCCCCAATCTGGCCTCTCTCCAAATGGGTCGATTTCAGCCTACATAGCTATTCTTGAGAATCTTGGGACATGTTGCGGACACGTAAAATGAGGCAAGGTTACTTTTATCTGATTGTGCCCGCCATTTTGGAGACAGCGGCCATTGCTACACACATGCCTGCTAGGATTAGAAATCCACTCGTCTGTAGATGTACTACCTGAGATGTTTAAAAATTTGGCCCTTTTTATTTTACCATGGTTGCCTCTGGGGAAGGTCAGACCAGAGATGGCATCACTTCCAAGAAAGTTCTGTCAAGTGGAATCACAGAAAGCACTAAAAAAAAACAACCAAAAATGTTGGTTGGTCTCCCAGTCAGAAAGTTACTTCAGATCAACTTTCCATCCTTGGTAGAGAATCCTGGCAAGGTTTGCTTCTGATATCTCCAGGATCACTCTGGTTGTGAGCATCTGAGCCATGCAGAACAAAATTGGGTGTCTTCTCTTGGTCCCTTTCAAGAAACTGTAGGCATTTTGGTAGTCATTTCAGAAGTTCTCTGGGTTTTCCCCCCATTTGAGGAAGGACTTTCTGGGTCCAAAATCCACATGATGGTTCTAGGCTTCCCCAGAACAAAGACAAAGGCTGCTGTCTTTGGAGGCCAAACCCATAGTCGTTACGTTCTGTGACTGTTCTAGATACCAGATGCTTTGAGGAGGAGAAGAAAACATAGGGCCAACAGAAGGAAAGAAGTTCTTCTTGGTATCATAATGCAAGGCTGAAGGATCCAATCTCCTCATTTCTTGTGGTGGTGCATATCTTCCATTCCAACCCGGCCCCAGACACCCACCACGAAGGATTCGATCTCGCACTCATTGGTCCCTCTGGCAATGCGGAAGTAGCCGTGCTCACCCCACGCCTTGCCCCAGGAGTTGGCTGCAATCTGAAGACAGGGATAGAATAGGCTATGAAAAGGGGTTTCCAACAGAAGAGCATTGCTGCTTGTCTAATATTGGAGTTGTAGACTTTTCTAGACTTTTTAAAATGCTTATGACAACCCTGGAGCACAGGTCACCAGGGAACATTGGTCACTGGTGAGAGCGAGTTTGACCTAGTGGTTAAGGCAGCAGGATAGGAAGCAGCAGACTGTGAGTTTTAGTCCCACCTTAGCTATGGAGTTCAGTTGGGTGGCTTTAGGCCAGAGTCCATCTCTCTCAGCCCAACTCACCTGACAGAGGAGAAAGATGTGTTGGGTATGCTTGCCCTCTTCAGTTATTGGTCAAAATAATAAAGGCAGGATATAAATAAAATAAATAAATAAACTAGTGCAGCATTGTGTCTATGAACATGAATTTGGGCAAGCTGCAGGAGACGGGGGGGACAGGGGAGGCTGGCATGCTATGGTCCATGGGGGTCACAAAGAGTTGGACGTGCCTTAGCGACTGAACAACAACAAGAATGATGCCAAAGGTGCTGGATGTCATCTCAGCTGGGGGGTCTTGAGTAAGAGGAGCAAGGAAGAAACACATAATAGCATGTGTGTGTGATGATCTCATCAAGCCATTACCTTGATTTGTGTAATTACCTTGATTTGTAGATACTGGGACCAGTATGTAATGGTCCATAGTATCTTTGAACAGTCGCTAAGCAACCAGTCATAAGTTGAAGCTAAGAACAAGTTCTGGTCGCTAAAGGAATCCAGTTAGGATAATAGGCCAGATTTTTTTCAGAAGTGTAATAATTTCCAGATGTATGGCCCTCAACTCCCAGAATTCTTAGAATTGCCTGTGCTGGGTGAGGATTCTGGGAGTTGAAGTCCACGTGGCTTAAAGTTACCAAGATTGAGAAACATGGATCTAGATGGAAACCTCTGGCTGACCTGGTTAAGTGAATTGTGTTGAAGCATGATATTGTGAACTTTTGGACAGAAGAAATACATTTACTCTCGTCCTTGGTGGCACTCACCCAATATTTCCGATTTGACCCATCCAGCTTCCGTTCTTCTCCCCATCTGTGGTTAAAAAAAACAAACCAAACAAAGCATTTGTTCAACTGCTAACACATCTGTAAGGTTGCAAGATGGAGAAGACAATCATGGGAAAAAGAGGAAGTAGGCAATCTAGTCTTCTCAGGATGGATCTTAGGATTTTTGAAAACTATACATGGAAACATGGAAAAGAAACCAGAATGAACACAGAACACAAAAATTAAAAAGAAACGCAGACTCAACGGAAGATATTGACAATGTGCCATCTTCACAGCTTCAAACTCTAGCAGTTACGTGGGTTTTCTTCATGACAATCTGTCCCCAATTCTGGTCCTTCAGACCTTCCAACATTGTACCCATCAACCCTATAATAAAGTCCATCCATCTTGCTGCCGATCATCAATTTTTTCCTCTTTCCTTCTACCTTTTCCAGAATGACTGACTTCTCCAGAGACCTAGGACTTCACATAATGTGTTCAAACGAGGAAAATTTGAGTCTCAAGTGAGAATTCTGGAATAATTTGTGATCAGGGGCCCAACCATTTTACTGTGTCCCCTTACAATGCAATCATTTTCAGCAAGTTCAGTTGCATATAAATTCTACTAATAAATACAGGTAATCCTTAATTTATGAGCTTCTCTAAGGAAGATGGGTGGTTAATAGGATGGATGGATGGATGGATGGATGAAGAGAGAGAGAGAGAGAGAGAGAGAGAGAGAGAGAGAGAGAGAGAGAGAGAGAGAGAGAGA